CTAAAGGCAAGGACAGGACAGACCCAGACAGAAAAAGACAACATGAGCAAAGTCCCACCCCATCTGTGAAATACAATAATACTACAGTCAGTAAGGCAAGTTGCCAAAAGAGCTAGATCCATATTGTATTTATAGTGGAAAGATATTGAGTGAGAACAATAAACCCACACTGACGTGCCTTCACAGGGAGTCAATTATATAAGCACTTTCATCAGGCTTCAGTGTGACGTCGTTTCATTTCACTGTGAGAAAATAAATTAGTTTTGCAAAAGTAAAAGAAATAATGATAGTCATGTGCGGCATGGTGGCTCAGTGGGTAGCACTGTGGCCTCACAGCAAGAAGATCACTGGTTCGAGCCCCTGCTGGGTCAGTTGGCATTTCTGTGTGGAGTTTGCATGTTCTCCTCATGTTGGAGTAGGTTTCCTCTGAGTGCTCTGGTTGCCCCCACAGTCCAAACACATGCGCTATAGGGGAATTGAATGAGCTAAATTGGTTGAGTGTATGCGTGTGAATGTGAGAGTGTATGGGTGTTTCCTAGTGTTGGGTTGCAGCTGGAAGGGCATCCAATTTGTGAAACATATGCTGGATAAGTTGGACGTTCATTCTGCTGTGTGCTATATACGTCATGTAAAATGAAATAACTGGTATGATAAAGTTTACAAGGAAGAAACTTTCCTAGAAAAACTATTTACTCTCATTAATTCATTTGCATAAGTAGGTGTGGCTCTCATGCTCCACCCCCTTCATCATTAGTCATTCTTACTGGTTAATTTTGTTTGTTTAGTGCATCACGTTCAGATATGCAAGCTTAAAAAAACTGAATAGACAACTTATTCCAGCATATGTTTTACGCAGCGGATGCCCTTCCAGCTGCAACCCAGTACTGAGAAACACCCATACAACCTCATTTTCAAACACTCATACATTATAGTCAATTTAGTTCATCTAATTCACCTATAGCGCATGTGTTTGGACTGTGGGGGAAACCGGAGCACCCGGAGGAAACCCACACCAACACCTGGATAACACGCAAACTCCACACAGAAATGCCAACTGGCCCTGAACCAGTGACCTTTTTGCTATAAGGTGACAGTGCTAACCACCGTGCCACCCAATATATATATTAATTTATATATAATAATATGTATATATTAATTTATATATATATATATATATATATATATATATATATATATATATATATATATATATATATATATATATATATATTGTTCAGCTCGGCTGTATTTCAGAATCTGTCTTGACTGAAGGCAGGGCTGCATCTCAGACACTGAACCAATAAACATGGAAATCAAGCCTCTGAGCAAAAGCACAGTGTTTGTAAAGCAGGACAATAAAGAAATAATAATATTTCAGCAGAAAGCCAGTCCCTCGGGATAAAAGAGATATGAGAAGACAGAAGCAAATGCGAGAATAATAAAACACAAACACCTGTAAGCGGGCGAGCTGAGCTGTCCGTGCTACTATCTTATTGTAAGGGTCAACAATTTTGGTCCTTATCCTGAGAAAAGAAAGAGAAATTAAATTCAGTTGAATGTATGACAATGATACTTTGAACTAACTTGAAATATATATTTTTAAATATTAATAAATTAATTAAATTTTTCCAAATAAATATTTTTTTTTACTATAATAAAATACTTTTTGTTCAGACTTTAAAACATGATTGAATCTAAATCAAAAATATCTGTTGTGGTCAAGAAAAAAAATGCAGTCACTCAAAGTAAAAATATTGTTTACTACATAGATACTAATAATTTTTTATATTTCCTAAATTAATATTTATAATAATAATTATTTTATTATGGAAGAACTATTTTTTACTCGTACAACAAAGTATAGTCTTATAAAATAAGTATAGTCTTAAAATATATAGTAATTTGTTACAGCTAAATGTATTAATTTCCCCTTAAATTATAATTTTGACTTGGATGAAACTGTAAAATGTAATTTAATATTTATTAAAATTCTGCCTAAGAACAAAAATAAATTTATTTAGAAGCCAAATATTGCCATTATAGACCAGGAATTAAACTGATTACTTTGGTTCAACTTAAAATCTACATGCAAGTAAAGTTGTACTTTAGACTAAACTATAATAATAACTTATATTTGGTTTAAAGTAATAAAAAAAGTAATTTGTTTTTTGCTTCAAGGAAAATTGAATAAATAAATTAAGGCATTTTCTTCTGTATGTAATATAAAAATGTACTTTGAATGTGCATAAACTGCAGATGCATAATGTTATTTATAATGTTATGCAACAATGGATAATATTAATGCTTATACTAGAATCATTCACCTGTCCACAGCGCTCTGGAGAGCTGAGATTCTGGTCTGCATCATTTGTAATACACCTGCGTAGATGCAAAGACAATCATGATTCTCAGAGAGAGAAAATATACAGTTCACACTTCTGAGTTTGAGATGTTACGATGGTTCCATCTGGTGGACTGAAGACAAACTGCATGTACTTTTACATTTATATATATATATATATATAATGTGTGTTTGTGTGTGTGTGTGTGTGTGTGTGTGTGTGTGTGTGTGTGTGTGTTGATCTCAAGAACCACTGTAATCCTGGAGGGTGTGGTCTATAAAGTATGTTCTGGTTATATACTGTAGTAAGGTAAGGCTTGTTATTATTTTATATAATATATAACAAATTATATAACCGTTAATACTGTTTTTTTATTGTTAAAAAGACATACCAAAAAAAAAAACATTAAAAAATAAATAAATCTGACAATAAAATTATTTTTGTACTAATAAATGCATACAGCATCATATTAAAATGATGATGATATTAAAATAAACACTTTATTTTTATACTTTTAGTAACTTTTAAATAAAATAAATAAATAAATATAACCTTATCTTAGAAATTAAAAAAAATAAGGTTTAGGGTTTAGTTTTAAGGTATAAGAATAATAATGTTAAATATGTAAATAAATAAATATCAATGAGGAAGTAAAACATTACCTTCTAGAGACTCGATCCCTGTAGCCTGAGCCAGTAGATCCTCATGTCTGGCCACTACCTGTGATCAAAAACAAAACACTGATAAAAACAGAACATGGCAGCAGGCAAAATAATAACTATACTATAGTCAATATTTGAAGTGGATGGTCACCTTTCATAAAAGTTGTCCTAAAACTATTCAACAATACCCACTCTTGATAAATTGTGGTCTACATGTTGATTATAGTATTCAGTGCTCAGGATAAATGAGTACAGCACTCTGTTTTTAAATTAATATTTTCTTATTATAATAATGCAATAATGTATTTCTGCATATACATTGAGATTAGTCAGTACCAAAGACAAAGCTAAAAACTAATCTAACAAAGAAATTAAGATCACAGTCCAAAAATAAGTCCACTCAAATTAATATGTTGGAAAAAAAACATTAAATAAAATGTTAATAAACGGGAAAAATAAAGAACAACGTAAAAAAAATGAAATTTTGTAGTTTATACTTTTTTTTAATATTCAGTTTGAATTTAAATGTATTTTCTTTCTATTCATACAAATATTTACTTTTTTAATGGATATAATTAAATGAATATTGTTTAATAAAACCGTTTTGTTTAAATTCTGCAAAAATAATTGGATTTTCACTGATTATCATTTTAAAATATTCATATTTTTTAACCTCTTAAGGGCCAATGTGTTTTTTTACATGCATTTTTAAATTTCTCTTTGCTATCTGGGCTTATTGGAACCTAATTAAATAATTACCTAGGTATCATCTTTTGATATGATGTACTTTTAAAAAACAATATGTCCATATATGTGGACTTGTGGTCCGAATTGACATAAAACACTTTTTCCTGACCGTTTAATAATGCATAAATAACATTAAAAAATTTTGAACATGTTTCGACTATCAGAGAGTAAAAACAACATTTTTTATTTATTTATTTTTTTTTTTTTTTCAATTTTGGACAGTGAATAGTGTTTGGGCAATTTCATTTGCTGCAAAACAGTTGCAGGATGACACTGTATGTCTGTAACAAAATATAAAACATTTAAAGTATTTTAAACAGCCACTTAAGAGCTAAAATGTGCTGCCCACTAAAGCCCTAGGAGGTTAATGCTGAGCACTGTATATATACACACATGACTGAAACTATATACATACACTGTATACATATGTATACCAGACAGGTCTGAAACGCCCCTTGCTGTGTGTTTGTTTGTTTGTTTTTACAGTTGTTGTTTTAATGTATCTTAACTAACACTAGTCTGGTGTTTATTTAGCGACACATCCATGAACTATGAATGTATTTGTCTGATGAACATCTATGATCCAGACAGCTGATCTGCATGTTTCTAACCTGGCAGTGCAGCTCTTTGTCCAGCTGACTGATGCCCTCTGCCAGCCTCGCCAGCTGCTCAGCAATCACAGCATGATGAATGGCTTGAGCTGTGTACGTTTTCACATCGAAATCCTCCTGGAGGAAATCAGAATAACACTCTGGAAAGGAAAAGATGGGGGGTTTAAATCCACATAGCAGCAGATCGCATTAGCTGGACTTGACAGATGGGCTATTTTCTGCAGCTATAAGTGTCGATCGACGTGATCAATCCGCCTATATTAAAACACGGTGGTATATAAAGATGTAAACCAAAAAATTAAATCAAACAGAGTGTGATAAAATCAATATATTACCATCTTTCAGCAGGGAGTTCGCTGTTGATTCCGTATTAGCCTCCATCACTGCCACTTCATCGATGACGTGTAATTCCAGCGTCTCCGCATGAATGGAGAGCAGCAGCGATTGGTCAATTGTTATGAATATTAATCAGCTATACAGCTCAACTAGCGTTATAATTTCGTAAAAAATATTATATTTTATTTTAATTCTAATTTTTAGTAGTTATATAAACTCATCATGCTTTTATTTTGAGTAAATATATTTAGTTTCCTTGCGAAAAAACAAACAGTCAAAGGTTAGACACGCCCACCGAACGCGGAAGTGAGAAACTACTACGCATGTGAAGCCGGGTGTAAACACGCGCGTTTGAGTCCAATGTTTACAACACAGAAAGCGATTTTAAAGTGAATACGCGTATCCTGCTTATAATGGAAATGCAGTACATTTTAATAAGGACTCTAACATTGAGTAATCCGACCTGTCAGTGAATGTATGGATGTGAGTAGCGGATTTTAATCCACAATAAACACCAAATGATGGACAGAGGGAATGTTATGGATTTGTTTAGCAGGGAAAAGCCAGTCAGAGTCTGTGCACCAATGGTCCGCTATTCAAAGTAAGAAAAATCTATTTTATTGATTCCTGTGACATAGACCGGTGTTCTGCTTGGCTATTATATGATTTAATACTTTATTTTCTTTCTGTCAGGTTGGCTTTTAGGACTTTGGTGAGGAAATATGACTGTGATGTTTGCTTCACACCAATGATCATTGCAGCTGATTTCATGCGATCTGCAAAAGCTAGAGACAGTGAATTCACCACCAATAAGAGTGAGTTCATGTTGAATTTTACATTAAATTGGAGTGATTTCCTATGAATACAACACATATTGAGTGACAAGTGTGTTTGTTTATGTTTCCAATAACTTGTGAAAACATGAAATGTCAAAATATTAAAGAAATGTGCCATTAGCATAACATATTTATTTATGCAAACATGAAACAGCACACTTTTATTTCACCCCTCTTTATTAAAACATGTTAGCATAGCTAAATTAATATTTATAATGACTATTATTGTTTTGTTTAAATAAAGGGGGGAAATTATTTAATGTGTATGTTTATGTAGTATATATGATGCATTTATGTATATGTATGTATGTGTACATATGAAGAGTTCAGAAGCAAAAACCTCAAAGTGCCGTCTGAAATTTACATCAAAAATGAAAATTTTTCTCAGCCTTCTTTGTTTATGTTGACATATTTAACTTTAAAGAGCAGGAAAATAACTTATTCTTTGGCATAAAAGTGATGTTACTGAACATACACACATGAGCCTGATAAAAATGCTCATTTTAGAGGGAAAGTTTTTGCATCTAAACTCTTCATATGTTTTTAAACATACATATATATGTATGTTTATATGTTTAGATTTATATATTTGTAATGTTATAAAACATTAATAGATTTGTGTTAATGTCATTTAATGTATTAATGTAAATGTAATGTTTACCCCTTTAAAAATTAACCAAAAGTATTCAGAAAAGGTCACGTCAGACAGGAGCATTTCCAAACATTTTATTAACATAAAACAACATTTGACCATTTCCCTTAAATTTATTTTAACATTTGTTTTGTCTTCAGACGACCGACCTTTGATTGTTCAGTTTGCTGCGAAGGATGCACAGACGCTGGCAGATGCCGCATGTGTGGTTTCTCCTTTTTCAGATGGGGTAGATTTAAATTGTGGCTGTCCACAAAGGTAATGCTAACATTTACAGTACATAACCAAATCAAACATAACCAAAATCACATTGAAAATACAATTCAGATATGGATTAGTAACAGTTTATAATAGTTTTAGTTATAATTTATAATGGAAGTTTGTCATTTTGGCTTTGGTTGCATGCTCATTTTGTTTGTATACATTGTAGCACTTGGATTTTAAGAAAAGCACATTATCAATGAAACATTTATGATAATAATAATAATAATAATACATACATAAATACATGCAAAATATGTACATACATTATCTTATACATGGATTTAGATGCACCAGCTGTGCTTTTATCAATCTCAGTTGAATGCAGATTAACTGTACTGAACTGAGATGAGAGTATGAGATGTTTTATTCTATTTTCTTTATTTATGTAAGGCTGTTTTGACACACATTGTAAATAGATGTAAAGATGACTTGGCTTTTTGCAGGTGGGCAATGTCTGAAGGCTACGGTGCATGTCTGATAAACAAACCTGAGCTTGTGAAAGACATGGTTCGACACGTCAGAAACCAAATAGACAATCCCAACTATGCTGTGTCCATTAAAATAAGGTAATATAATTTCTTGATATTAAAATACGCTCATAAGAAAGACAAATAACACTGTATCTCCTTTAAATGTTTCTCTTCCAAAGGTATCTCCTCCAGTATATCTCTTTATGTATATCTTCTAGTGTATCTCTTTTGGAATGAACCATTATGGTCTTCTCTGAAACTGTGCATTGCGGAAAGCACTATATGAGTAAATTTGCCTCCATGTTTCCTGTTGTTTTGTTTCAGAATCCACAAAGACGTTCGTCAGACGGTGGATCTCTGTCAGAAGGTGGAGGCCGCAGGAGTGTCTTATATCACTGTTCATGGACGCACAGCCATTGAGAGACACCAGCCTGTTCACTACGACACCATTAAAACCATCAAAGACAGTCTTTCCATCCCAGTCATCGCTAATGGAGACATCAAGAGCATGCAGGACGTAGAGGCTGTCTGTGAACTCACTGGAGTGGACGGTGCGTATCAGATCTTCTGCTTCTCGTTATTTCATTTGTGTGCAGAATGTTAAAACACTACATTTAACTTCATTACTGGACTTGAGGATTATTTTAAGGGGATTATACTTGGACTTTATTCAATGAAATTTAAATATAATGCTAGTCAAATTTGTAGATATGATTATTTACTGTATTGCAGTTATGATTAATCGCTTGCAATTCAGCAAAATTCATTGTAATATTTAGAATAGCATAAAAATACTGCATTTAAAGATTATTTTGGAATGCATTTAGACTTAAATTCAATTTAAGTGCATGTCAGATTTGCTAGATAGGATTAATTACTTTATTGCGTACTTTATTCAGTTACGATTAATAGTTAGCAATTCTGATGTTTATTTACAATTGCATATAAAATACTGACCTTTACATACTGTACTTAAGGATTATTTTGGGATGATTTGGACGTATTATTAAATTAAATTCAAATGCATGTCGGATTTGCAGGATTTTTTATTGCAGTTATGATGAATATTTAGCAATTCTGGCTTTTTATACTCGGAATTGGATTAAAAAAGTACTGTGTTTACTGTGAATAAGGATTATGTTGGGGGATTTGTGCTTTATAAAGTCAGAATTGCAAAATCTTAATCATAATTGCAATAAAAATATGATTATTGTGTATAATAATAGTGAAAATATTAAAACATTTTTATTCTGCAATTTTATTTATTTATTTTGCAAGTTCATAGGTTCTGTCAATGCTGACTTTACAAAGCACAAATCCCCCAAAATAATCATTAATTACAGTAGGCACAGTACTTTTTTATGCAATTCCTTACTGCATTGAATACCTTTTTTACTTTAATAGGGATTTTAATGCATTATAAATGTAATTATTATTATTAGATGCATGCAGAAACAGACAGATGCATCTAGATGCAACCATTGTGCATTTTCAGTCAGAATATGGATAAAACTGAATTACAGACCAAATATGGGAGATCACATCAGAATTGCTAGAACCTTTAAACTTGTAAATGAAATTAATCATTAAATTACAGGTAAATTACAATTATGAAAAATGTCAGAATTGCTAAATCTGACTAAATGACTGTTGCATTTATGATTAATATTATGCAATTCTGTCATTTTTTCTCAGAATTGCATTAAAAAAGTACTGCATCTAAGGATTATTTTGGGGTATTTTTGTTTTATTAATAAGAGTAATGAAATCAGAGATGCTAGATCTTCTGATTATATCTGGTATGACATAAAGAAACGGGACAAACTAAGACCAACTAAATCCCACCAGCAAACCTACATGAAAAACTATGGGCAAGTGTTTTAAAAGCGAGGTGTGCTCATACCAAATGTTAATTTGATGTGGGTAATATACGTTATTTGATAAATAAAATGTATTCATGCATTATTTTTTAAAGCATCTTCATTTTACAGCATTTGTACATAAACTTTATACAGTTTGCAGGTTATTTTTTTGAAGCAACTCAGAGATGTTGCCAAATGGATTTAGTTTGTCTCAGGTTTTCATGTCATTCCAGACAGACTGGATGACGATCAGATCAGATTTGTGTGTGTGTGTAGCACTAGCTGTTGTCAGTCAATAATCTCACTGTATGATTACAATTAATGACACAAATAATGATATTTTAAACTGCCATGCTTTATAAAAATATAGAAATAGCCAACCTTCTAGTAATAGTAAACCTTCTTCGTGCGAAAATACAAATATCCTAAGACTTTTGCATAGTATTGATTATAGTTTTATCTGCTTTTGTGGCGTATTTGTGTGTGATATTTGTGAGCTCCCGCAGGAGTGATGTCCGCTCGGGGTCTGCTGTCCAATCCGGCCATGTTTTCTGGCTTCGAGGAGACGCCGCTGCAGTGTGTGTGGGATTGGGTGGACATCGCTGCTGAACACGGCACTCCGTTTACCTGTTTCCACCATCACCTGATTCACATGCTGGAGCGAATCACATCCCAGCCTGAGAGGAGGGTGTTTAATAACTTATCCAGCACGTCTGCCGTCATCGACTTCCTACACAACACATATGGCTCCATGTAGATGCTTTTAAGCAATGTACTGTTTTATATAATAAAGGCACACATGACAAACATCCTAATGTGTTTTTGAAGTGATTTGTTGGTATTAGGGCGAGGATGTGCTGTAATTCATTCAGAAGTGAATCCGAATTAAACATTTCGAAGGGATTGTAGTTTTAAATGTTGATTTTTTTCATCCTATACTGAATAAATATGGTCAATATTGTAAAATATACACATCCAAGAGAAAAATATATTACATTTATATTATTATACAGTATTAAAATAGCATTATTACAATGAAATCTATTAAATTAAACAGAAAAGGGATCATTCTTTAAATGTTTTGGTTCATCTAAAGGTTACTATTTAATGAGATGCTGAAGGATTGTTTAATATTTCTATCTGTTGACATGTCATTATTTGGACTTTTTAAACTGTAAAGTCCAAGATACAGAGGTGAAATTCTGACTAAATAATATGTGACATTATGAAATAGTAATATTTTAATAGAAATAGACATTTATATTATGCATTTCTGAATTTTTTAGTTGTCTGAATTGCATAAAATGTTCTGTGCGTAATGATTATTCTAAATGATTTGTGGTTTATGTTGTAATTTTAATTCTTATAGAAGAAACTTTAGTTTTACCTTAGTTTGATTTAATAGTACTATATTTTTTACATCAAATAATATTACTATTCTGTATTTTTTTATATATACTGTATGCACAATAATATAATAAACAGATTTGATTATGTACTGCTAAAATTTAATGTTTAACATGCAATGGTGTGTGTTTTTACACAGCTTATATTCAGCTGATGCAGAATAAATTTGCATTATTGAAAACAAGGCAGAGTTATGAGTAAATAATTGCAGCTCACGACTTTCTTGCAGCTGCAAATATAAATTAATACATTTGTATGAATATTAATAAACGTTTTTCATTCACAAATAGTTTTATCCCTATTAAATTTAACATTAAATCATTAAACAAATAGGTTATTTTCTCATTAAATCATATGTGCATAAATGAACATTTATTTGAGGCATATTTAGTGTATAATAATAGCGAAAAAAAGCACTCATATGATTGAAAATGCAGGTTAATGTTTATGGTTGTGGACCAATATGTTCCGTCAACAACGCGACAAGCACGTGCACGCCAGTGGAAACTTCCGAGACTGAGTGGGCGGGACTAATTTGCGAGCTGCGATGCTATTGGCTGACGATCTGATTGATGGCTCACCTGCAGGGCTTAAATACCACACGCATGCAAGCGGCGTCCGTGTATACGTGGACAAGAGGTAAGATGCTGTCGTATTTTAAGTATATTTTAAGTGTAAGATTAAAACAAACAAGTTAATAGTTTTGTAGTGCTTTTTTTTCATTATCCACGAAGATAAGTTGGTGATTTTCATGGTTTTTAGTAGTACAACACCATGAAAAACCTTACAAACTATCACCAGTACTCTTAAATATCAGGGTTTTTATATGTTATTAGTTTTAACCTGTTCAAATGCAGTCATAACTAACCATTACTATACCAAGTCTTAGCTGTTTGGCATCACTTAACTTGTTTAACATGTAGTGTACTTCATAATGTTTAATGTTACTGACGTGTTATTTGAGATTATTTAAGTGCATTTTCTTGTATGTTAACTATAGCAATGACATTTTAACCACAGTTATGTTTCTTTTTTTTTAGGTCTCTGGATCGGAGCTCTGGGAGAAACCAGATTAACGCAATGGTGTGGAGTCCTTCAACAGTTGCCCTTTATTCACCTTTGTTCTTTAATCCTCAGCAGGTGTTTTCTGTTGCTCTTGTATCCATCTGATGACAGAATCAGCTTGGACTGATTCTTTGGTTAATCTGTGCTTTTCAACCATCTTCACAGAGCCTTTACTAGCACTTCACATTTTGCATGTGTCAAGGTCTTATAGCCTGTAAATGAGGTTATGAGCTTCAGTTGTAATTAAGACATGCAAAATATGTAGTGTTTGAGGGCTCCTGGAGTGGTTGAAATAGTTTGTGTAGTATAAATGTGCCAAGTGTGTATTTTGTTTGTGCAAAATAAAAGGTTAAATGTGATCTTTTTGTACTCTTCATGATTTTGAAGTATTACTCTTCTCTTTTAAAGTATTTTTGATTATGGGTTTTGGTTCTCCACACATTTACAATGTTTGTGGATGAATTAATTTTACTTTGTCATCAAATAAGATGATTAGTGTGTCATAAATGCTGATCTAAAACCAAACAACCTAATCTGTTAAAGCTTATTTCAGCAGTGTCCATCTGAATCAAAGCATCCTGAAGGTCCTGAGCTGAAGCTACGTTTGAGGCTGAAAAGCGTGGAATGGGATCCTGCTGGACCACTGATGGGGGCTGAACTGGCTGGGCTAGATTTTTTTATTTTATTTTTATTTTTTTTATTTTTTTTTTTTAGGGCAAATTTTTTTCTTTTTTTTTTTTTTAGGGGGATGCCTAGAATTTTTTTAAATTTTTTTAAATTTTTTTTTTATTTTTATTTTTTTATTTTAGCTGGATTTTTTTTTTTCTAGGTTTTTCTTTTTTTGCCAGCCTGGTATATCCTGGCCAAAAAAAATTTTTTTTACAGATTTTTAGCAGGATTTGTTTTTTTTTCCCTCCAGCCTGCCATTCTGGTCCAGTTCTAAAATATTTCATAAAATTAGTCCCTCCTCCTCTTTAGCTGGTTGGCTCAGGTAGTTAAATAGTGCCTTGTAATAGGCTCTTTTGACTTAGCCACTCCTTCTCTTACTTATACTCTTCTCTGATTGGTTGATTTGAATAGGCCCCTCCCATGGGTACTTGTTCTGGAAAATTTTATAAGTAATTTTGCAAAATTTTGTCTCCTTCTGCATAACCGCTGCTGATTATTGTCACGAAAGTCCCCAGGGGGAGCGTTCTGGATCTTTACTCCGCCCCTTCGTGTCCTGCCTTCATGTCTCTGTCGCCATGTTCTGATCCGCTTGCCGAGGCAGAGCCTGTCACAGCCCACGGCGACCTGACCGTCACGCAACCATGCTTTCAGTGCCGGGGTGGGGATTGAGCCCACGATGTCCCGTTCAGGGAGCTGGTGCACTACCACTGTGCTACCGGCACTTTCTTACTTATTATAGTCTTTCCGGTTAATTTATCTTTTTTCCTGCAGGTTAAGCCAGTTGAAGAGCTCAAATTCGACTAAAGAGGGGCTTGAACCTGCCACTTCACAGTCATGGGTACACATGCACTGACCACCAGGCCAGTGCTCCGCTCATACTTAGTAAGGGTTTTTGAATATTTTATATTTTTTTCTTGCAGGTAAATCCAGTTAACTACTCAAATTCGACTAAAGTGGGCCTCGAGCCTGCCACTTCCCACTCATGGACTGATTCGTACTGCCCACTGAGCCACAGCTCTACTCATACTTAGTAGTGATTTCCGGTTATTTTATCTTTTTTCTTGCAGGTAAAGCTGGTTGAACTGATCAAAATCAGCTAATGAGGGGCTCGAACCTGCAACTTCCCAATGACGGTATGCCACACACTAACCGCTGGACCACTGCTCCACTCATACTTAGTAAAGCTTTTTGGTTTTTTTTATCTTTTTTCTTATAGGTGAAGCCAGAAGAACTGCTCTGATTCAGCTAAAGTGGGTCTCGAACCATGAACTTCCCAATCATTGCCTGTGATGAACAGACCACTGAGCCACTTTCCCACTCATATGAACTATAGTCTTTCTGGTTATTTTATCTTTTTTCCTGCAGGTAAAGCCGGTTGAGCTGCTCGAATTCGCCAAAAGAGTGGCTTGAACCTGCAGCATCCCACTCATGGAATGCCATGCACTGACCACCTAGCCACTGCTCCACTCATATATGCTATTGATTTCCGGTTATTTTATCTTTTTTCTTGCAGGTGAAGCCAGAAGAACTGATCTTATTCGACTAAAGAGGGGCTTGAACCTGCCACTTCACAGTCATGGGTACACATGCACTGACCACCAGGCCAGTACTCCACTCATATTTAGTAATGATTTTTGATTCTTTTATCTGTTTTCTTTGGGTAAAGCCTGTAGAACTGCACAAATTCGGCTAAAGAGGGCCTCGCACCTGCAACTTCCCAATGATGACCTAACATGCACATACCACTGTCCCACTGCTCCACTCATAGGTTATAATGGTTATAGTTATTTGTAATCTTTTTTCATGCAGGTAAAGCCTGAACAATTGCTCACATTCAGCTAAAGGGGGCCTCGAACCTGCAATATCCTAATCAAGGCCTGACGTCCACTGACCACCAAGCCACTGCTTCGCTCACATTTATTAATGATTTTTGTTTTTTTTTAAATCTTTTTTCTTGCAGGTAGGCCAGTAGAACTGCACAAATTCAGCTAAAGAGGGCCTCGAACCTGCCATTTTCCAATCATGGCCTAACACGCACTGACCACCAGGCCAGTGCTCCTCTCCTATTTAGTAGTGATTTTTGGTTCTTTTATATTTTTTCTTGCATTTTAAACCTGTTGAACAGCTCAAAATCAACTAAAGGGGGCCTCGATCCTTCAACTACATCATTATGGCCCTACATGCACTGACCACCAGGCCAGTACTCCTCTCGTATTAAGCAGTGATTTTTGGTTCTTTTATATTTTTTCTTGCATTCTGAACCGCTCAAAATCAGCTAAAGGGAGCCTCGAACCTGCAACTACATCATCATGGCCCAACATGCACCGACCACCAGGCCAGTACTCTGCTCATTCTTAGTAGTGATTTTTGGTTCTTTTATATTTTTTCTTGAGGGTTAAGCCTGAAGAACTGCTCAAAATCAGTTAAAGAGGGCCTCGAACCTGCAACTTACCAATCATGGCAGAACATGCACTGACCACCAGGCCAGTACTCCACTTACACTTAGTAGTGATTTTATTTTATTTTTTAATTTTTTTTCCTGCAGGTTAAACCTGTTGAATTGCTGAAAATCAGCTAAAGAGGGCCTCAAACCTGCAACTTCCCAATTATGGCACAACATGCACTGACCACTGATCCACTGCTCTGCTCATACAAGTAGGTGATTTTT